CAAGCTTGCAGCTTGCTCTTTAACTGAGTCTGTCAACCCATAGGAGGACATGTTTGATTGTATTGGCCTCCAATGGCGACCTAAGGACCATTTTAGTGGTGGGACATAGTCAATCAACTCCTTGACTTCATGCTTTATACATTTAATTGGTCTTGCACTATGTTGACTGTGTCACAATCATGTAAAGGACTAAGTCCTGATTTTGGATTGGTTGGTAAACTGGGATCACTACCAACACGTTAATACAGTCAAGAGCATATATCTAGAAGCAAATCCTCTAGGATTACTTGTTGGAAAGCTTTTACTCCAAAAAAGGATTAGGGGTCGTAGCAGGCAAACAACATATTTGAACTTCCAGTGTAAGGCTATGTGGAAAGACCTGATCAGACCCACAACTTTAAATTGGATACCACCAACAGGACTGGGGTGTGATTTTCATTTCTATATATGGTGTAGATTGACACTGATCATACAAGGCTGCTTCAATTCTGATTTTCATGTCCTCTTTAAACAAATTTGAGAAAATGGACTAGAGTGTAAAGAGGCTCTTTCTGTTTTCTTGACAGAGAGGTCCATGTATCACCTCATGATAGACATGGAGAACAGCTGTAGATTTCTTTTGATAAAAGGGAATAATTTTTCTACTTCTCCAAATTAGCTAAATCGTTTGATCAAGGAGGAAGCAGAAAAGGACAAATATTTTTGTCAGGAGCATCTGTCAGAGGTAGGATTTTATTTCTAGCATTTTTTTTCTGCCCAGCTGTAGATGTTGCTACTGTTTCTGTAGCGAAAGATGCATCCTTTTGCACAGGAAGGTTGGTTCAAGCTGCCTTCAAGCCAAAAGAGAGATTTTCCACCATCTCTCAGAGGGGCAAGGTCTGTACTTGGGCTGTTCATAATATCCAGTCCTGACATGGAACTGTAATTAACAGGGGCAAATGTAAGTAAGTTCCCCTGCCTATTCCTTAGCTCACTCTACAGTCTGATAATGACCAATTACTTATAAAAAACACATACTCCAGTAAAGGAGGAAAACGTGCCACTCCTATGTTTGTGCACATATCATGCAGGAAAGTAATTTGGCATATAAGCATTGCCCAGTGGAACCCTGGTGCTCGCTGCAGTTCTATCCAGTGCCCATAACAGGGACGTGTTTGCTTGCCTATGAGGCATTACCCATTTATTTTCTTGTATCTTGGCTGTGGGATGATTTTCTCATTTCATCAAAGCTGCTTATACTTGAAAGAAATCCATAGAAGCAGTCCACAAGTTCTTGACAATCAGTATTACATTAAAGAGAGCTATGGATTTGGCACTGGGTAGACAGATGAGTTTATTTTATTCTTAAAACTGTGGTAGTAATGTTTCTTCATAGGCTACACTGTTATGTTATCACAAGAACGTTTAATTTCCACAGGAGGTGCAGAACCTGACCTTAGTAAACTATTACTTAAAGAATATGCATCAAAGTTAATTTCTCCTTGAGTATTTGCCAAGGTAAGTAGCTCCAGAGAGGACACATCAAAAGCAGCATGACCAGCAGGTCAAAGGAGGTGATCCTATGCCTCTACTCTGCTCTCGTGAGACCTCACTTGGAGTATTGTGTGCAGTTCTGGTGTCCTCAACATAAAAAGGACATGGAACTGTTGGAACAAGTCCAGAGGAGGGCCACGAGGATGATCAGGGGACTGGAGCACCTCCCGTATGAAGACAGGCTGAGAAAGTTGGGGCTGTTCAGCCTGGAGAAGAGAAGGCTGAGTGGAGACCTCCTAACAGCCTTCCAGTATCTGAAGGGGGCCTATAGGGATGCTGGGGAGGGACTCCTCATTAGGGACTGTAGTGACAGGACAAGGGGTAATGGGTTCAAACTTAAATAGGGGAAGTTTAGATTGGATATAAGGAAGAAGTTCTTAACTTTGAAGGTGATGGGGCGCTGGAACAGGTTGCCCAAAGAAGCTGTGAATGGTCCACCCCTGGTAGTGTTCACGGCCAGGTTGGATGAAGGCTTGGGTGACATGGTTTAGGGTGAGGTGTCCTTGTCCATGGCAGTGGGGTTGGAATTAGGTGTTCTTAAGGTCCTTTCCAACCCAAACCATTCTATGATTCTGTGAGTTTAGTGCAGTTGGGTAAGCACAATATTGACTGCTCAAAATATACAGACATAATAAAAAATACAATAAGGGGTGTTTAAGCATCATCCTTAACTAAGCCAAACTGTGTTTATCCTGCTGCTGTAGAATACTCAGTCTAAGAGGAAAGCAATTACTGGTTAATTATTTTGTGTTCAGAAAAAGAGCAAAACATTTCCTGATGCCATGTTGAATTCAGCCTATGAGAAGAACAAGCCCAACATTATTGAGATTTTTTAGTCTTTGTTTAGCTATTTGATGATACAGCCTGTTTTCTAGAAGTGCTGAGTGCCAGCCCTCTCTTTGAAAGCAATGGTACTATCCATATCTTGTAGATTGGAAAGTGTTTTTTGAAGATCAAAAGATTGACAGGAGCAAGTTACTGACCTTGCCTCAATTAGAAATTACATATGTGGGAGCTAATATTGTGCTATATTTGAGGTAAAGTGGGAAATTCAAGGCTAAAACCAGAAAATGTGATGCTTTTAAGCATGCACACTTGCATATGTAGCATGCATGGTTTCATCAAGAAATGCTGTAGATAGATTGGCAAAAATGATCTCTAGGAGGAACTGTGGTAAAGCAAGAGGCTTGATAATCAGGTACTCCCAGAGTGAGGCTGTCTAAAATGAAGTGTAGTAAGAGGAGAGGGCTAAAGATAGTTGCACATTCTTATGCTTGAAAGAGAGGAACAATATCTAGAAGCAAGCATGGATCAAGACCAAGATACACACAGCGATTGACTATCTGACCATGTCTACTGGGCTACTTATTTATATCTGAGGGTGTATATATATGAAGTGCTTAGATGGAAGACTTCAGGCTAAAACAATAACTGATCCAGATCAGAATTTAATTTCTATGTGTTGCTAATAGAAAAATTATGGCCATTATTGACTAGCATTGATTGTTGACATTTTTGCTTCACAATGTACTTTGCCTTAGCCTTGATTTCTGCAGCGTCTTCCATTCAAAGAACTCCAGGTACTTCAGAAACATCAATTTAACCTCCCAGCTTCACTGTGTATTACACCCAGGGACTGCCTTCTCTTTATATCAAGGAAGTTCTTACCACATTGCTGGCACTGCTAGACACCTTCTCTAATAAGCTGTTTGCAGTGCTAGAGACCTAAGGAGCAAAACCAATAGAGGGCTATCTTTGTTCAGTGTGAAACAATCCTGCTAGTAAATATCTAGGCAGTAAATTTAAAAATGGCAGGAAAATGTAGCTGAGTAAAAACCCAAATATATATGCATATACACACATATATTTTGATACATATATATTTATATATATATAAAAATTATACTCCATTTATATTTTGGTGTACAAATAGTATTAATAAGCACATGGACACACATGTATATGGCTTTCATCTGTGTAAATTACAGTTAGTGAGACTTACTGCTGTACTTAGCAGTGGAGAATATGGAAGTCTATACTTTTGGATCTTTTTTGCATTTACAGTGTCAGACTTGGCAGATCACGGCAGAACACTCAGTATTTGTGGGTGTTTCATCTTGATGAGTTTGAGTGGGACTACTGTAAAGGGAGGCTAGCCCATTGCATAGTGCTAACATGTTTATATCTCTTTTCAATAATTAATGATATGCATTTATGTCTCTTTAGTCAGTATTCATAGGAATAAACAGCTTTTTCTGTACAACGTGCAGGATTAGACATTGCTTTTTACTTACACTGAATTTCCCTGGAATTATAAAGCTATCTGATAACTACTGAAAAAGACAGAATGTGTATGCCATTCCTTTAAACTTGGAATGTGTGCATTTTATGTACATTAATAGTAGTATCATCATTAAATAAATAAATTTTTCAATAAGGATGAACTGCTTTCTCTCTCAAGACTGACACTGAAGAGTTCATTGAATCCATTATGAAGTTTTGATATCCAGAATGCTTGATACTCATTCTCATCTCCAATAATGACTTCAGAATAGATGTAATGAAGTGGAATAACTCATTTAGATTGGATCTTGTCAACATCATTATTAATTTAAAGCACCCATTTTTGAAGATTAAAAGCAGCTGTTAACAATATGCACTGTCAAACAAAGAACTGAGTGAAATAGTGGGGCTGGATTTCTAGTCTGCTGCTGCACTTTCACGCCTTTCTTGCCCCATAAAGGATCTGGAAACCTATTTGTATCACCCCACAACTATTTCTAGTAGCATAAAGACAATATATGGATGTCATGCTGTTCCTTTCCAGCCCTTCAGTAAGAAAGATGGCTGATGTCAACCATGAATGACTGTAACGGGGGCACTGCAGCCTTTTATCATGGTTTTTCAAGCCTGTATCAGGCACCAAGAGAGTTTTAGTGGTCACTGCAATGCATCAAGTAGACTGTAGCTCAGCTGTATTGATGAAGCTAGGCCTAAATTGTGTGGTAAACCTTTATGTAAAATGCCAAAGTTTGTAGAATTAATTCAAAATGTTAGAGATTACCACAGCACTTAGACTGGATGATACAAGACAATGCAGGAATGCCCCTGCATGCTCTGATTTTTAGTGTGTTTGTTCTTCACTGCACTTAGACATCCTTGAAATGTTATTGAATTGCCTTAAAAAATCCTGAAGGAAGAAAATACCTCTTTACCCAAATAAATCAGATGCAGGAAGCTTTGTCCATGCATCCCTTGCACACTTGCAATTCTCTGCACTAGTTATCTTGGAGTGTTAATGTCTGGTTGCTTTGATTTACAGTTCAGCCATGCTCTGGCCGAGTATTCCTGTAGAAAGTTTTTGTATAGATTCTTTACAAAAGCATGAAATTGAAGAGGATGGTATATAAAAGTACAGGATATAAAATGTTAAAATTTGACTAATTTTCTGTATTTGTTTTATGCAGATGTAAAAGTACCTGAATCTTACAGGCTTCATTCACAAGCAGTGGTCTGAATTACAACAAAGGTTGAGACCTTGTACAAAGGCGCTGTAAGAATCATATGATTCTTCTGGGGCAGAGTGGGGTTAAGGAAGACGGGAGTCTTCCTGAAAATCAAGCACATTCTCTCTCTGATGTAAAATCCCACACAAATGCAGGAATCTGAAGAACCCAGAAGCAATATTTTTTTCTATTAGTTTTGTCATTCACATGTAAAGGTGTATTGAAACTTCCATAAATTTCCCTGTTCACAGGTCTGGAAGCCAGGTTTAATTATAACATTTGCTGTCGACCCTGACACACAAAGCTATAAACAAGCAAAAATTCTTTCCAAAACTCGCTGAGCCTTCTTTTAAGTTTTGCACTGAAGTTTGCTGATTTTGAACAACTGGATGAGATGGATTCTTCATGATTGCTAAGCAGTGAGTCCATAAACTTGGTTCTGGCTCATGTTCAATCCACAGCAACAAGAAGCTTCTGGTTTGGGTTGTTTGTTTTGTTTTTTTTTTAAGCCAGGATAACTAAGCATTTCTTCTCCATGTAACATATATAGCAAATAAAGAATTATGTAATATTTCAGAGTGGCTTTGGATGTTTCTGAAACAGTAATAAAACCTGCAGTGAACCTGCTTCAAGCACCCACTTGAGGGACACATGAAAAACCAGCTACTTATTTAATTATGAAAAAATGATGAGTTGTGTCATACTCAGCTGGAAATCAGTTGAGGATACTTTGGAGATAGTTTCTTGAGAGGAGGTTGCCTAAACAAGGAGTAATTTCCTGCTGCTTTTTGCTCTACCTAACATCTAAGTATTGTCTTGAAAAGAGTAAACAGTGTGAAATTTTCTTAGGAAAATAATCACTGGGGGAAACAAATCAAAATAGAACATGAGTAAAAATGAAAAGATTCTAGATACCTGTAAGTGGGCAACATGAGATCATTGCAGAAACGTGGCTTTCTAATTCTCACTCAGAAGGGTGATGTCTTTGTCTTTGGCTGTTTCTATATTCCATAACCTTCTACAAAGTTACTTGCAGTTTTACTCCTCATTTGCACTCCCAACATCATTAAACTGTGGCATTGCCACAGATGGAGATCTAGCTCTAGGAATGTGATTCATTTGTCAAAATGTGAGCTTCTATCTGAGCTATTTATCTGCTTTCTAGATGAGAAATAGTGATTCTGAGGTACACTCTATCTTATAAAATAGATGTCTTCATAAAGATCAAATGAATCCTGCATATTTCTGTTCCTTAACAATAAAGGAAAGCCAGATAATGAACTCACACACAGCTATCCATGGTGTAGGCTTCTAAAGTAGCATAAGATGAATCTTAGTCCTAGCTTCACCAATTTAATTTAAACACTATGGCCTTTGCTTCCCTGTTAACACTGTTGTTATCCCTGATGACAGGATAGAACACTGGACAAGTATTACCTCAGGAAAGCACATAACATACTGGAACCTCTCCAGTGTCTTCATATGTTTGTGACGGGGATTTCAAGAGTGCCAACAATTCCTTACAGCTTTTAGGCAATTTCAGAGGCTGCTGAAGTGCAGGATGAGCACCTGGTCGTCAGCAGTAATATAGGCTCCAGGCTGTATCAAAGGTCACAAAACCTGAGACCTGCTGAGCTGCAGGAAATATGTCAGGTCATCCTTTTTAAAAGGAAAAGAGATTTTAGAGAGGGCAAAATCAGAGCTCTCCACAAATCCTGAGTAAATGGGCTTTAATATTCTTCCTTGAAACTGAGTGGGAGAGATAGGGAAAGAGAAGGGAAAGGAAATTCCCTCTGTTTTGCAGATGCAGATGGAGGAGGAACCGGACATCTGCTCCTTCAGTAGTGGCTGCTTCCCTGGAAAAGACTATCAGGAGGGTTTCTGACCTATTTGTGCCATGTCCTTATATCTCCTGTTACGTGACCCAGTAATACTAGAGCAGAGAAAGTTTCCGTGATTTATTCAGCTGTCTCCATATTGGTTTCAGGAGCTTCCCTCTTGCATTCAGGCACCTCACAGGTTAATCCTCACCCTGTCCATGCACCTGTATAGCACAGGTAATAGGGTTTTACCTTAATATTGCCATTCCATTTGCTATGAAAATTGACTTCAATATGTCAGATTTTACTAGAAATACAATACTAAGATCTTCATCCGATGTAGAGTTATTTTATCTTAGGAAAAGAAACTGCAACATTTAGAAAACACACTGTTGTACCCAGTTCAATAACATTTTGACCCAGTTGCAACTATAGTGCCTTTCAGCTGGTGAGGTTGTCAGAAGAAAATTTAATGAGAGACTCAGTGTGTGTGTGTGTTCACGTGCAGAAGTGTGCAAACAAGCACACATAATATGGTGGAGATTTTAGATATCAGAGTTACACAAAACAGGAAGGCACAATACATAGGAAGTATATTAAGATGTACCCACACAGTAGGCCTGGTGCCTTTTCTAAGCTTATATGAACATGGGAAAAATCTTTCCTTGAAGAAGAATAGAATTTGGTTTGCTTATATGTAGGCACCAGTGAAGCAATGGGTAGGAAAGGTGCAGGTGACTGTGTATATCTACTGAAAAGTCCCTCATTATGGAAGGTGATCACTGACTAGAGGAATGTAAAAGGAGCTAAGCTATTCTTTGATGTGAATGAAAGTTTTAGAATTTGAACCTCAGTGAGCATCCAGAATATGTTTAGATTTCCCTCCCTCAACTGAAGTACTTGCATTGAAGTGGCAGACATAGGTCCTCATAACATACACAGCTCCAAACCTCTTGCAACAAATAGCTAATGCAGAATCTTTCATAACTGAAAATTGTCTTCATTTCATTTAATATTTCTCTCTACAACTCAGTACATTCTGTGACTTCAAGAAGCATTTTATTGCTGCCAAATATACTTGTATTTAGTTCTTCAGTTTAAAAAAACATTGCATTTACTGGGAGGATGTGAACTTTAATAAATATTATTCTACCTTCTGACAAACCATTTATTTTGTATACTAAGAGATGACAAATAAGGTACATATTTCATTCCAGATTACCCTTTCATGTTTCCATAATAAAACAAAGTGGCATTTGATCACCAGCTAGCCAGCATTCTTGCTACAGGTTTTGAAGTCACAGCTGGACATAATACTAATTCATCTATCAAAAAACAACTATGAAAAGTTCAGCACTAGAAACCTTTAATGCAACCCAATCTGTGTACACATGGGAGATGCTAATGTTTTTATTGGAGCTTTTTTCTTTTTTCTTTTTTTTAATTAAAAATCTATAAGGCCAAGCAACAGAGTGAAATATTACATTGATTTTATATGCTTGCTTTCTGGCTCACTTGTGATGGCAGTGCTCAGAGCATGCAAAGAATGTTTGTTTGGCATGATTTACATAGTTGTCCTTCCTGAATTCTGTCTCTAAAATCCAAGTCATTCTGTTACTGGTATGACCAAATATCAAAAATATAAATTGGTGTACTTGTTAAGTGTATATATATATATATATAATGCTGGTTTTCACTGGGATAGAGTTAATTTTCTTCCTATCAGCTGGTATAGTGCTTGACTTGACTTTAGTCTGAGAACAATGCTGATAACACACCCATGTTTTAGTTGTTGCTAAGTAGAGCTTACCTTAAGTCAAGGAGTTTTCATAGTGTCCCATGCCAGTGAGGAGGGGCACAAGAAGCTGTGAGGGAGGACAGCTGACCTGGATAGCCAAAGGGATATCAACTGGGGGGAGTTGGCTGGGAGGGACCCATCACTGCTTGGGGATGGGCTGGGCGTCAGTCAGCTGGTGGTGAGCAACTGTACAGTGCATTGCTTGTCCTTCTAGGGTTTTATTCCTCTATCTTTTTCCTGTTTATTATTATTGCTGTTATTATTATCTTTTACTTTATTTAAATTATTAAATTATTCTTACCTCAACCCACGGGTTTTAACTTTTTCTGAATCTCCTGGGGGAAGGGGGGAAGTGAGTAAGCAGCTGCGTGGTGCTTAGTTGCTGGCTGGGGTTAAACAACAACATATATTTAAAGAGTTATTAAAATAAACTATAATTTAATTCAGAGGGCTAACAGTTAGAAAAGGCTAAGTTAAAGCCTTACTTATGCAAGTTACTACATTGCAATGAGATTAGTCACCTAACATAAGTAGGAGTTGCTTCTGTAACAAATCTGCAGACACACAGAAAAGTAGAGTTAATCCTGAAATACCGTTTTTAGCTTGTTCTCATTGTGTCTCTTTAATATTCTAGAGGTCTCCTAGTAGTGACAGTTTTAACCTAGGCTCTCTTGCTTTTTCAGAGATTAAGTCAGTCCTTCATCTGAATGTTTTTGTCATAGTTTAATATCCTCATCAGTTTTAGATAGGCTAAAAAAAAAATGAATAATAGATTTGATGAGAGCTGGTTAAAGAAAGTATTGCATTGAATCTGGATTGCTCCCAGCTGTCTTAATTGAACAAAGGGAAAGTTTCCAAATACACCTTCTACACTGGCTGTCTGCCTTAAAAGTTCTCTAAAGCTAGAAGTCCTTCAAAAAATTAAAACTCATACTAAAAAAAAAAGAAAAGAACCAACCCAAACAATTAAAATCTGCCGTATGAAGTTAGAACACAAATAATATAAACCAGATTATTTCATTACAAGTTCATGTCAGAATTAAGTTATGTATTTGTTTTGGTGCTGGAATAGATAACAGGGCTCTAGTTTTTGTCATTGTGTGATTTTGCATATGGATAAAAACCTGATTTTTAAAAGCAAAAACTCCTGTTCTCATTTGGGTAGAGATAAATCAGTAAAAATACTGGCATAATTTCTTAGTGATGTGGGAGTCAGTCTGCCAGGTCTGTCCTCAGACTGAAGTAGTGGCTGCTGATACTTGGAAGCCATTGAAGAGAGCAGACTGGTGGCGTCAAAAGAATCGACTAGTGCTTGGATTACTTTACCATCTAGAGAGAAGATAAACCCAAAATGCAGTGTTTCATTGAGCAACATCATCCCACTGATATATTACCCGGCCAGTCTGTCCTGGCTACAGGTCCACATAACCTGGTTTTCCAGCAGTAGCTGAAGGGTGATGCAGTAGGTAGGTAGGTTGACGGCTATCAGTGAAAAAAGTTCCAGCCTTATGATGTTGGTGCTTTCTGACAGCGGGATAGGGCTTCTGCCTCTCTAAACTGACAGAGAACTCCATCTTGTGATGAGGAGGGCCCAAGGGAAAGGCAAAATGAAGCTTGTGGTGGCAAAGCCTTACAAGGATTTTTCCTGGGGTGGAGGAACAGCAGCAGAGCGGTGGTTAGTTGTTAGCATCCCTCCGACATGCATTTTGAAACACACTATGCATGCATCGGTTAGCAAAAACCAGCACGTCCTGGTTTTGCCTGGTATGGCACTTCTGGGGTGCAGCCTGCCAAATCCCACTGGTAGGATGTCAAGGACCTCATGGAATTTGCTCTGTAACATTGTGAAGACAGCGCTTATGTAATTGAAGGCAGCGGTCAGTCTGTATGTCATGTATAACAGCCTGTGCTCCCACCATGAGACCAAAGATTTTTCCATATGGAAAGTATACCAGTTT